TAACATGGAATTGGCTGTCTCTTCCATAATTTATCTATTCCTATGCTGACGTTTGTTTAGGTTCCTTACTGCATTATCCTACGCAGGTTCCCCCTGGGAGTTTGAACACAGTCCTGCTTCGCTCAGCTCTGACACGTGATCCCTGAGGTGAGCTCCATCATTCTTGCTTCCTTTCTCTTACCTATCCCCCTCGCCTTCCTTCCTAAGCATCCAGGATTGCGCCAAACTGCAAACAAAACTCACTGCAACAGTCATTTCTGGTTCCTTGAGTAGGTGCTTTTCTTCAACTTCTTTCTTTCTTTCTTTTTTATTTTAAAGAGTAAAAGAAGGATAACAGAATAATGGGGGGGCTTACCAAATTACAGACAAAGTGGTAGGAAATTATCAATGGCTATTGTTTTACATACTGTTATCTACAAGATAGTTTCTCAGGAAAACAAATAGACAAATAATAGGGAGTTACAGACAAAAGAGGTAGGAGATTATCAATAGTTGTTGTACTCTACTTAGGTATCTTTGAAAGAAAATAAATAGAACTATACATGAGTGACCTATTGAATAATCATTAACTATTCTCAATGGTTGTTGTAGGAAACACATAATAATAAACATGCATCCATTTATGAAATAGGATAGGAACAATATAAACATTACAGAGTTATGGATAGATTAGTAGGAAAATATCGATGACTGCTGTAATACATGGTGGTATCTTCAAAGTGGTTTCTTAGGAAGACAGAGATACACAAGAAGGATCTAACAAGTAGTTACAGCCTAAGGGCTGTCAAAAATCAAGTGAGCCGTCTGGGGCCAAAGCCTTTTTTTGTAGCTTTTTCTCTCCAGCTTCCCATTGCTTTGGGACCCCACAACCAGTTAGTGTCCTCTCCCCAAATGTCAGCACAGGCAGCAGAAATCCTGCTGCAGAGTTCTCCGGAGCTTCACCACAGCCTGTACTGTCAGGGGAAGAATGGCTTCCAGGGAGTCTCTGCAGGTATTGTGCAAGGTCCTCCTGGTTTACCGCTTCCGGGCAGTTCTCATGACCCCAGTCCACAGGACCTCTGACCCCTTGGGCTTAGTCTGCATTCTCATGTTCTCTGAGTCCTTGTTCAGCAGCTGCTCCTCTGCTGACTCTAGACCTTTCTGGTTCTCAATGGCAGGAGCAAGAGTGGCCCATTGTATAGCATGTATTCCCAGGGTTTTTTCCATGTTTGAATGATTCACACATGTCCTTAGGTGGGCATCTGCAGCCAGCGCATGGTGGGCCAATTGTGTCATTTTTCTCTGTGTCATGATAGTTCTCAATTGAGCAGCGGCTGCTGGCCTGAAGGCCAGCGCACCACAGCGCTCTCCGCCACACAGCTCCCCGTGTGCCAGGGGCCCTCCCTCTGGGGACCTACAAGGCAGGGAACGAGCTGTGGTCAGAAGATTGGCACTCCCTGCCCGTGGCTCCCCGTGCACCGGGTCCCTCCCTCCAGGGGCCTATGAGGCAGGAAGTGAGCCAGCTGAAAGACAGGCGCTCCCTGCCCATGGCTCTCTGTGCACCGGAGGCCCTCCCTCCGGGGGCCTATGAGGCAGGGAGTGAGCTGCCGGTCGGAAGACTGGCACTCCCTGCCCATGGCTTCCCGTGTCTTCAACTTATTTCTCTTCTGTGCCACACCCCTGTATGTTTTTATAGCAGTTCTTGTTGTACAAGTGAGAAAATTGGGTCTGCTCAGAGAGCTACAGGGATCTCCTGAGCCACAGATCCAGGTCACAATAGGCAAATCCATGACTGGATCTGTAAGCATTCAAATCCAAGTCTTATGCTTACATAGGTGACACTCTCATGATCATTTGTCTTTCATCAGGGAATGTCAGCTCCCACTCAGGGACAAAACTGATGAAGCAGAGAGCTCATGTCAGGTGGATTCATTTCACATTCAGCTGCACACACTGTGGTTCTGTATTTTATCCTCAGGCACTCTTACTGAAGTTCCTTATGAAAAGCAGGTAGGTGCTGTGACATTGCCAGCACATGCCTATTTTTTATGTTTTCTTTTTCTTTTTAACTGAAAACTACTTTTTTTTTTTTTTTTTTTTTTGGTTTTTCTCCAGTACCGGGAACCAAACTCACGACCTTGCGCTTGCCAGGAAGGCGCTTTGCCGCTGAGCTAAATCCCCAGCCCCCTGAAAACTACTTTTAATTTCAGTTTTCAAAAAAATGCCTTCTGTTTTCAAGATAATCTGATTTACTTACAAAAATGTGCATACAATACATCTTCAAAGAATTTTCTTTTAGCAGGCATCTTAGCTTTATAGGAACTAAATATTAAAATGGAATTAAAAATGGTTTTCTGGCATAAGGTAAACAGAACATAAGTCAAGGAAATTATGCATACATCTGGACCTTCTGTAGGAGTAAATGTTATAATATTTCCATTAGGAAACTGTTATTTAATTTAGTAATATTCCTTCTGGTGTGAGTTTAATCTTAGTCTTCCAGTACTACAGGAAAAACCATCAAATTGTAGAAGCATGCCAACATGTTGTTTCCTTGTCATTCCTCATGGTGTGAATTCCTGGTCCTAAGCATTGGTCCATAAGCTCTAGGGGAAAGAACTGTAATGGGCAGGTATAACATTTGCCACAAAGGAGAGATTAACTTGAGAAAATGAGCTGTGATGAAATGAAATATATCAAATGACTTTCAATCTCCAGTTTCTTGATGATACAATGCTTGTCTCTGAGTACTACTAAAAACAAATTGGTTATTTTTGTTACAGAGTTTAGATTGATACAATAATTTCATATAACTTATTTTGTTATACTTTGAATTTATTATTATAGTAAAGTAATATTAATACCAGTTATTGAGGGCCGGGGATATAGCTCAGTGCCACAAGTGCCCGCCTGGCAAGCACAAGGTCCTGAGTTCGATTCTTGGTTAAAAAACAAAAACAAAAATCAAATCTAGATATTGGACTCAGGGTTTTGCACGCACCCAGCAAGTGCTGCAATATGATCTAAAAGTCAGCGTCATCCTGGTTTGGGGGCTGCTCTGTGTTTTGTGGTAATGTTGTCTCTTAGATTCTTCCCGAGGAGATTTGAGAGGAAGTCCAAAGAAACGGACTCGAGTCAGAAAGCAGCGGTGTTTAGCGAGCGTGGTTATTGAAGGGCGAACGTTGTGCACGCCAAACAAGGCTAACTTTTATTTTTATTTATTTATTTATTTATTTATTTATTTTGGTTTTTCTCAGGTACTGGGAACTGAACTCTCGACCTTGCGCTTGCCAGGCAGGCGCTTTTGCCGCTGAGCTAAATCCCCAGGCCCAAGGCTAACTTTTATGAATATGGATGTACACTCGGGAGAGCTGTAGGTGGTCAGACCTAGGAACGGCGACTTTCAGTACTGGAAATACACCTTCAAGAAGGGTGAGGCAATGAGTTGAGGGGTGGTTTTTCTTTTGCGTTCCTAGATTTTGGAGAAGTGCTTGGAGCTGATAATTAACATGGCCTCTTTCTTCAAACTTTTTTTTTTGTTTGTTTGTTTTTCTTCCAGTACCAGGAATCGAACTCATGACCTTGTGCTTGCCAGGCAGGTGCTTTGCCGCTGAGCTAAATCCCTAGCCCCTTTCCTCAAACTTTGAGTCTCCATTTTATGTCAGGAAGGCTGTTTCCTGAACTTATGGGGATTTGGTTAGAGCCAGCACAGTGGCTAGAGCCCATGTCGGGAGTTAAAACCACAACACAGATGCATGCAAATAAAGCCTGGTGGGGCTGACAGGGAGACCACAGTTAAACTGGGGTCTGTGCCTCTAGTGTGACTGTGTGGAAATGAAAGGGGTAAGACTGAGCAGGGGGTGATGAACAAAGAGGGTTTGATGTGCTCATCTCAGGAAACCTGGAGTCCGGAAACTCAGGAAATCTCAACCTGGTTCTTGCTAAAATTTTCTCCAGCGATCCTGCTGCCATTTCCCCCTATCCACCTCCTGTCTGTCTAACTGCCTACTCCGTTAGTATCACTGAGCCGGGTCTCCAAACACGTGAAGAAATGGCTCTCTTCCAATAAATCTTCAGTCACAAAAACAGAAAACAGCCGGGATTTGTATCCAAAGTTGTGTTTTCCCAAGTTGTACCCCTTAAAACCTTTATTCTACAATGATCTTCCTGAAGACATCTTACCGGACAGAGTAATTAGTGCCGCTTGGCTCTGGGATGAAGACTTGGTTCCAGGCCAGTGCTGTTAGAAGGGGTGGAGTCTCTGAGAGACGGAATCTCATGGACGCCTACAGGGAACCTGGGGGCTGCCCTACACGGAATTTTGTGACCATGGCTTCTTCCTGTCTTTCTGTCACTTCCTGTCTCTGAGGCGAGTGCTAGTGCTGTGCTGTGCCCACCTGCCGTGTTGCCCCGCCACTGCCGCAGCAATGGGGACAGCTGGTGAGGACCGGAACCCGAAAAGCACGTGGCAACATAGCGCTTCTTGAAGCTTTTATTAGTTCGCATAGTGATACAAACCTTGGAAAACACAGCAATATTTCCTTTCTATTTTAATCTCCAAAACTATATTTCTAAATGAATAGATGAGAAAGAAAAACCTGGGGACTATAGTTAGCAACAATGAATTGTGTATTTCAAAATAGCCAGAAATACGCAACAGCTAGAAGAGAGGTTTTTGAATGCTTTTGCCAGAAAGAAATGATAGATATATGAGGTGTGGATGTTCTGATTACCCTGATTTGATCATTACATTCTGCATATATGTCTCAAAATGTAACAACATACCTCATTAATATGTGTAATTCTGAAAGGTTAACTAAATATTTAAAATAATAATAAAGAAGAACTGGGATGAGGAGTGGGTGTCAAAAGAAATGCTGAGGGAAATACAAAGCCAGGAAAGGAAAGGGGAAAAGTAATCCTGGGAAAAACTTGTTTTGGTTAAAAACATCGACAAAATTCAGGTAGCTTTTCTAGAGTTTGTTTTCTTATCATTTTTTTCTAACAGACCCATCAATAACATGAAACCAGAAAATATTTCACGAACTGCAAAATTTATACTCCTGGGGTTGTCAGATGATCGACACCTGCAGCCCGTCCTCTTTGGAGTGTTCCTGTCCATGTACCTGGTCACGGTGCTGGGGAACCTGCTCATCATCCTGGCCGTCAGCTCTGACGCCCACCTCCACACCCCCATGTACTTCTTCCTCTCCAACCTGTCTCTGGCTGACATCTGCTTTATTTCCACTACTGTCCCAAAGATGATTGTGGACATCGCAACTCACAGCAGAGACATCTATGTGAGCCGCATGACGCAGATGTCTCTGTTTATCATTTTTGGGAGTATGGATGATGTGCTTCTGACTGTAATGGCCTATGACCGGTTTGTGGCCATCTGTCACCCTCTGAGGTACAATGTCATCATGAACCCCAAACTCTGCTGGCTGCTAGTTCTGCTTTGCCTCTTGATCAGTGTCCTCGATGCTGTGATCCACATCTCTATGGTACTGAAGCTGTCCTTCTGCACAAACCTGGAGATTCCTCACTTTTTCTGTCGACTGGAACATATTCCCAAGCTTGCCTGTTCTGATATCATCAATAGCATCCTGCTGTATTTGGTGGCAGGTGTACTGGGTGCTATGCATCTCTCTAGGATAATTTTCTCTTACATTCATATTGTCTCCTCCATCCTCAAAATTCCATCAGCTGGTGGAAAGTACAAAGCCTTCTCCACTTGTGTGTCATACCCGATAGTCATTTCTTTGTTCTGTGGCACAGGTTTTGCAGTGTGCCTCAGTTCTACAGGGGCTCAGACCTCCGGGAAGAGTGCAATAGCTTCAGTGATGTACACTGCTGTGACCCCCATGCTGAACCCCTTTATCTACAGCCTGAGGAACAAGGACATGCTGAGTGCTTTGGGGAAGCTCATCTGTAGAGTATCATCTTTCCATTGATATGTCAGATGTTTATAATACTAGAACAAATCAAAGATTAACCCTAAACCTAACCCTATCCAAGCCTACTACCTAGACTGGCCTAAAACTTGTGTTGATCCTCCTGCCTCAGCCTTTGGGGTGCTGGAACTACAGGCATGTGCCACCATGCATAGCTATAAACTAAGTGTGTGTGTGTGTGTGTGTGTGTGTGAACACTTGAACATCATAAAGTTTTTTTTACCTAAAGGTTTTAATTATTTGTTGTCTTTCATGGTTAAGGCTTTGATACTTGTGAATAGCATTTGAGCATACTATAATCCACTTTTGTTTTATTTTTTTATTTGGATAAGCAATAGCTTCAGCACTACTTATTGAATGGTATCATCCTTTCTAGGAAATGCCAAATTATCATCAAGAAAGTATTAAATGCTGCCTTCCTGAATGACATCTTTATATAGGTGAGGGTAGAGTTTATTACTGATTTTCTCTGTACTGCAATAGCATATCGTTTCAACTACTGTAGCTCTATAATGTTATAATCATGATATTTGGTAAGGCAAACATTCCAATTTTTATCTTCTATCAAATCAAATATTCTTTCTCCATTGCTTTTTTATATATACTTAAAATATGCTTCTGACATAACACAAAATGCCGATTGGCATTAAATTTATGAAGCCATTTGTTGAAAATTGACATCTGTGTGGTTTTGTGTATGTATCAAAAATACAATAGTTTTGCCATTTATTTAGATCTTATTTAATGTCCTTTATTTGTTTTGTTTTGGGTACCAGGAATTGAACTCAGGACCTTGCACTTGCCAGGCAGGCACCTGTGCTCCTGAGCTACATCCATGGCCTTTAGTAAAATCTTATATATTTAAAAATTTCTTTCACAATTTTTTTTTGCCTTGGAACTATTTCCATCTACTTATTTGTTATTGTTACAAATACATTTCAGAGCTCGCATTTTCCAGATAAATTTTGCTTTTCTTTTTTTTTTTTTGGTTTTTCTCCGGTACCGGGAAC